AGTAGGTTGCTTTGATATTACAGACAGCAAAAGCCCAATGATTTATGGCAAATGTAAAATATTCCTTTTTAAAAAGTAAACCGGAAAACTTTTTGAGGTTGCTTATATTCACTTCTTGGCAGGTTATAAGTAGAGCAGGAAGTTGGAGTCTACAGGAGAACTTGTTTTGATTGCGTTATTAAAGTTGTGACTGACAACCCCAGCTCTTTCACTCTGTAAAGTTATTCATGCTTTAAAGTCTGCTTCTCTAAAACTGCGGCATTATTTTCCATCACACAGATCAACTCTGACATAAATCTTATCAGTTGTTTCTCTGTAAAGCTTCTTCTCTCCTCTCTTCTAAGCTGTGTGGCTCTCCAGTACAGCTCTGTTAACTGTCAAGCATTTCTTTTCCAACACAGTGATTTTAGGTAAATATGTTGTTAAAAAGATAAATAGAATGTATCATTAAGAAGTCAAGCTTTTCTTGGACTTTAGCCGTAGAGTAAGTAATAGTAGTAGGTCTGACCTTTTGGGTGGGAGCACATAGAACACAGTTCACGCAATTGTTCTGACATTTTATAGAGCACATGTTTAATCGATTATTAGAATAACTGTCGGATTAAATGATACTTGTAGCTATAGATACAACACTAAATAATAACCATGTGTGGGGGTGGCTATAGCTGAAAAAGATGTAGTGTGAGTATGTGTGGGCTTTTCAAGTATTTAAATAGTGCAGCAGATGTTCAGAATCGGTTAATATGAAGACCTGGTGCTGGTCTGACCAGGAGTACGTCAACTACTGCACTCTGTGAGCTAATTAACTGATGTTTACTTCTGTTTATGTGAACATGTTTGTTAAATGTCTGTTTTCTTCTGCAGGGACTGGTGGTAGAGGGGGCTCCGCTGTCTGTGCGATATCCCAGTAAGATCCACACTGGACTTGGTATGTCCAAATCGGCCGCCACTGACCCCTACTCACGCCCCGGGTAAGAACACGATATTCTTCTCTCTCGTATTACAAAAGCACTTTGGTTTAGATTGTTGTCATATTGTATTGTTTTACGACTTTAAAACTGAGTGGATATAAGTAGGATTTTTTTGACCACATATGCCTAGGATCAATAATTGTTAGCTTTACACTCACAGGACTTCTAAAGAGCATACTCCTAATTTCTCTAATGCAAAGTATAAAATTACCATTATTACATTTTCTCTGTTCATATTAGTTAATTTGCTCTCTTAATTTGTTCACATTATTGATGAATTATTATGGGTAAAAAAGGAACCCTGCTCCTGATGTTAACAATAAAGATAAATGTAATAGCCCCGCATCCTAAACTTTGACATAGATCTTGAAGTGAGAAACTGTTTTCCTGTTGTAGCATGTACAAGAAAGAGTGCTTTTTCTGGAGGACCACAGGCTGCACGAGGCCAGACTGCACCTTCAAACATGTCCCAGAGAACAAGAACATCGACAAGGACAAATTCACCAGTAGACTGGGAAATCTAGGAAATTAAAAATAACAAGCATGCGTCGTCTCCTTTGACATTTGACACAATGGTGGAGCCAGACTGGGCTGCTTTTAGTCACCTCGATTTGAGTCTTTGTTTTTGGTTTGTTGTGCAAGTTTTGGCGTGCTTAAAAAAAAAGAAAAGAATAATTGTGTTTTGAATTGCCACGTTGTTTTGGAAATGCTTCCCCCATGATGGCCCACCATTGTCACGAATACAAGGACACATCAGATATGTTATACTATGTATTCATAGTAAGATTATAGTAAGAATTCAATCGTCATCAAGCTTTCATCAATTCTTTGCAATATGCCTTTTGGTCAGGGACTTACTTGGTCATCTACTAATCTGTGTTAAAGATTGCTGTTAAAACACTTTTTTAGTTCTTGCATTGGTTTTTAAATTTGATTTTAACAGATTCTCTTCTGTTTTTCAGTCACCACTAGGTGGAGCGTTACCTTTTTATCCTTAACTTGGGGGGTACAACACTGTCTGCTTTCATTCTTAAAGGCTGTGATTGAATGAGTGTTGTTTACACGGCACACCTTATGTGTGCCATGTTTAATTATGAAAACTGTACTCTGTAATTAGGCGCTGGT